ATGCAGGGCCATATCTCATGATTGGACTGAACAAGGGTGCCTGAACATCACAAAACTTTACCATAATCTATAGGCAAAATAAGAGGGGATAGCAAGAATTATTATTTCATAACAAATAACTTTGTCGGTTCTTAGTTTCGAAATCAAAACGGAAATTTTAAGTATGACTTTAAGTAAGAACTTATATAACTGAAAAAATTCATATTTAAAAAAGTTTAGAAATTTTATTTTTTCATCATATACTTCAAAATAACACACCGATTAAGAAGAAAAATTGACAGTTGATTTTTCTTATAGCCTACATTTTGTCTCATTACTGATTTGTTCGCTCAGTAGCTGAGACTTTTTGTTCCTGCAAATTCAGTTACCTAGCATTTAGCTACTGATGTGCATGCTGAGAACTAAAATCGAAAAACTTTATTTTATGCAAACAAGATGTGGGGGTATACAAGTGATTGATTTTGTAGTAAAACTTCCAACGCAAGAGTGAAATACTAAATTTATCTGCACAGAAATATATAGCATTTTAGTTATTCTAATTTTCCAGATGTTACGGCATTCTTGCAAGCATTTATCTTCTGTAATTGGGCCCACTTTTCAGTTATAATCGCAAATTCAAATATCGAACATTTTAAAGATGTGCAAGGCGCAAAATATGAATTTTGACCGTAACTGGTAGAGTGTTGACTTCATAACTCACACCCTTTTTGGCATAGTTCTTTAATCAATTTCTGGTACGGCGTCGAAATCCGTTTCAGTTCCAACAACCATCATTTTTTATTTATTAAATACGTTATCATCATCAATCTTTCCGAGAAACTGCAGGATTTGAAGATTCCTCTAAACTTCGTCATAAACTTCTGTTCTCTGCAATTTTTACTCATGTTGAAACAACAACATTTTCAACTCAAGTATATTATTGAATAAATTTATCCTAATATTAAGTGAAGTAATCATGAAAACGGTACAAAACAAGATGTATTTAAACATACGCAAATAATTTTGTCAACTGGATGGATGACCGTTGCCGATATTTTGGCCCGTTCTCTGCGGGCCTTCTGACTCGATTCAAACGGCTGGGCTTTCAGGCTAACAGAAGGATTTTCGAAGGTTATTCAAATCTCTGCTGCTACGCTTCTACTACCAACAAGTACTAAACCTTCGAATAATTTCAGCTTTGTGTGAATAAAAGTCATTTATTAAAAGCCCCGAGTACAATTTCTTTAGTTAAGCAGTTTATTATTAAGAGCTTGCAGATGCGGTTTATCATTAAATGTTCGTCAGTTTTTTATTTCATTAATTTAACAGCTTAAAGCAGTAGTCCAGTTCATACTCTTTGTTCTGCGTACCGTGTATTAAATGTCCAAGCATTCTGATGTTATATGACTTGAAAACTGAAGTGGTTTGACGTAGCATTGGAAATGCAATGATATTAAAGTTATGCCGTTGAAGATATTTTATTTGATCATGAGACCTTCGCACTCTGAGAAAAGTCTTACCTGCTATCTTCATGTACTTTCAATGACATGTCCCACTGCCTCAGCGGAATTGTTGGAATCGACGATCCTAGAGAAGGAATCAGAAATTTTCTGTGATCAGCATCTTACCGTGATATTGACATATCCATGAATGAAGCTGCTGACACGAATCAGCTTTGGGAACCAACTTAGGACTTCCTCTGCCAAAAGAGAACACAAAGCAATTCCGGTCGTCATAAAGAGCTCTGCTAAAAAGGCAACAATATGTAATTTTTTAGAGTAACAATTTTTAATTATGCATACGGCACTCCTGCGCAATTGTAAAGTGTTCTCTTTATCTATCGAATTGCGAACCTCATGAAAAATCTGTAGAAAAATTTATCTGATAGATTCTGAATCAGACAAACTTGCTGCGGTCGACCGATGGTCATAGCCACTGGAAATACCTCCCAAAGTTGTTGCTGTTGTTTTGTAATCGTCATTTGAATTTAATAGAGCTCAAACAGCAAACCAACGCAGATTTATTACCTCTGACCGTTAGAAGTTGTACTTCAAACCGACATTAGGCAAAGTTCACTGCTGTGGCAAAGATCATATTCCTCTCCAAACGCAGTCTGCCTTAACGACGCTTTTCCAAGTTTTGAATTTTTCTACCATGCGTCTCCGGTGAGTGTGCGGTTCCCAAGAAAGAAAAGTTTAGAACATATTTGAATTCTCTTTCTGTGCCGTTCATCCCTCATCAAGCGAGGCGCCGGTCTCTGAGATCTAATAGTTTTCTGTGACCGGGGAGGGGGTCTTACCTCATGGACTTTGAGGACGCTACACTGACAGCGCTATTGCAAACTATCTAAACGACTTTCATGACGTTTCAGGACAGCAGGTGAATTAAGACTGTGTATCCGAAGTATAGTTCCTTTCAAGATAATGTTCTTATAGTCTCAGCCTTCCGTAAGTTACACATCTTTTCATGCACAATTCGCTGATGCCAGTCTGATGCGCCGGCTCACTTCAGGACGAATCCACCTTCATCAGCCAACCCAGCTTCATCATGGTCCTCCTTGTCCCTCATAATATCATTTCATAATATCTTTGAGCTGCCGGGTGCAGCGGGTGCTTTCATAATCTTCACCTTTTTTGCGTTCACTTGTTGCTCCCTATTTCATAGCTGTGTTGTACACACTTTCAGTGAGTGTCAGTGCACCACTTGCGGTATTTCTGAACAACACGACGTCATCGGCATACTGTAGGTATGCTAGGAACACAGCCAAATATCTCAAGCTGCGTTGCTGACCAACGGTCAGTCATACATCGATATTTGGGATGACATACTTCCACGAAACGTAGTCCGTCATGATGTTGAATAGCAGAACAGAGAGCACTCCACATTGACAAATTCCATACGTAATGTTCAACCAGACCGAGAGTGACGCTTCAGTTCAATCGGTGCCTTTAGTCCTTTATGCGGTCTATGACGAGTCGCCGCCGATCGACATTCGTCATAAACGTGCGTTCTGTAACGTGCGTTTGATTCTACGTGATTGGACTGTGGTCATCTCGATCAGTTATGATATCCAACCCACAATGTGACATGTACAGCAGAAGCTCTCCGTCAGCACAATGTGAAACTTCTGTCAAATTAAAGTTTCCGAGATTTCGCGTGTTATTTTATGATTCCATTTTTCTACCTTCACCGGTAAAGATGAAGAAATATTGTGATGCGGACGGAAGGATAGTGTCAGTTGAGAATGCTGTCATATTAAAGATATTATTACTCACCATTTGTGGCTTAGCGCATATTTACCAAATAGCGCAATGATCTCATATATTGCATATTAATTTTGCTATATAATAACCTTGTTTTGTACATAAGCTCGTTGTTCTTCGACGAAAAGTTAAATTTAAACTGAACTGTACTCACAAATTTAAATTTTGTGAAATAATTTAGCAATTTGACAACTAATCTGACAGACGTTTTGCTGTTGTACTTACTGAGAGATTAATGTATAAATAATGAACCTCTGCTGGTGGACAAAATCCTACAATCTTAGAAATTCATTAGTTTGAAAAAAGTTCCACATTTTGCTCATGGGGAGCTCTTCATAGTTATATAACTTAGAGGGTAAGGAAATTGCAGTTGATCAAGATGACCACAGTCCAATCATATAGAACTGCACAGGACTACCCATTGACAACGAATTTCGATTGACACCGAAACGGCCTGCGTCGAATCGTCCCATTCATCCCTCGTACAGGTTTACCATCTCCTGTAAAATCCTGTATTGAGTAGTGACGAATAGCATGCCATATTGTAAATTCGATGAACCGAATCGATGAATGCCCGGAAGTTCAGAAATTTCTCGTTTCAAGGAAGTTGTAAGCTTCGGCACTGCTCGATGATTTGCTTCAGCACAAAGATGTTGCCCGTTGTTCAGTGCTCAGGTCAGTTTGATTTTACAGTCTTCACTTTGCACTGAAATTTCTGTCAGCTATAAGATGAATCAAGATAATGGCAACCGCTAAGCAGAGCATTTAACAGCAAATCCTAAGCTAAGCATTACTAAGCAAACCCGGATTTTGCTCGATACCGTATAGCCATATGCACGATCATGCTGCCTATACTGTTCGGAAGTCAAGGGCCTGTTATTCGAAAAAAGCTCAAGCAGTACGGCGTTAATCTAGTCTTGGCGGAGTTACGAACTATGCGATATACTCCGGCGCGCGAAAATACGTTGATTTCTATGTGGCAGTATATAAGGAATATCTACTCCTGAAATATCGTTCGTGAAGTGACCCCGGCACACAAAATATGGAGCCGTGGTCTGCTATAATAACCTCCTCCCCCAAAAAAAAATTAACTAGGAGGAAATCGGCAGTGCAGTGGGTCATAAAACCTGAACAGCCTTGCAGAGTTACGCTCCATGTAACATACTTTGGCGTACGAAATTCTGGCCACACCTTACAATATTACACGATTAGTCGCTTAGAAAGGATGAAGTTGATTACGTAAATCCATAGGTGACCAGTCGACCTGTTGATTTTCTTTTCGTCCGAGTGACCAACGCTGAGTGGTACAGAGGCTCTAAGTTGTCCACGTTGAATTTCAGTATAGAAAAGTTCCTTTCTTTCTCCTGCCTGAACTTCCTGCTGTCAAAAAGACGGAGTATGTCGCGATTCAGACGAAGGTAGCTGTCATTTTCTGGTTGTCGTTGACTGAAGGTTTTGTCATTCACCCACACGGGTACAGGCGATGTGAAGTAACGTCCTTCTCTCTTTCTAAGGCCAATCCAAAATTGCGTCTAAACAACAACAGCAGTTACAAACATCGAATAAATCCACGCCGTCACACTGTATTCAGGTCGACTTCCACCTTCTGCAAACGAGAAACAAAGTAGTTGTACAACGGAGCATCCAAAGGTGCCACCAGGTCACCGCCCTTCATCAAACAATATCTGCGAGCCTCTGACCAGGTTTTTAATGAAGTTTGGTCGGCAGGAAGCACGATCTCGTAGCAACGGTCCTTGAAGAAGTTCGCACCGATTGGACACGAAAAGTTTCCTGTAATGGCAAAAGTCAGGGCAAAGTATTTCATAGGCCTCCAATAGTATTTCAGAGGCCTCCATAGAATATTTCTAAAATATACTGATTGCCGAAAATGATGCTCTCCTAATGAATTATGCATTTCAGTCTGATGCAGTATAATTTTGTGATATTTTCACTTTCTTTAAGATACTTTTAACAATTTTTTACCTACTGCGTATGAAACCGCTTCCTTGCTATGAAGTTAGCAATTGACAATTTGATACTCATGACTCTTGAACGGGGGTTCCTACATACTTCAGAA